ATCACTTTCTCGTCCTTGTGTGTTATTATGAACCCCCCATTCACACACACACACACACACACACACACACACACACACACACACACACACACACACACACACACACGGGCATCATCATATAGGGGTGTGAACAGTGAAATAAAGACTCTGGTTAAGAGGGAGGAACAAATCAAACACTTTGGAAAGACTTACTCGAGAGGAGGAGGGTGAAAGGAGCGGGGTGTGGCCAGGTGGTATGGACGTACTGAGGATGGATAAAAAAAGTGTAATGATGAAGAAGGTAGGTGAGGAGAAGACCAGGATGGAGATGGAAGAATCGGGAGAAAGATGGACGTCCGGTGTGCGGGAATGAGTGGACAGCTTGGCGTCAAGTGGTTATGGGGAAAGGACGGGTATGGTGATGGGTGACGTTAGGCTGTGTGAACCGACGGGAGTAAACCAGAGTTATGACACATCCCCGAGAGCTGTAAGAGCCACAGTGTAACGACAAATGGACAGAAAATGTGCGTGTATATTTACTTTTGTTTCAACTCACTTTGTATTAACCGAAAAAAGTCCTGACAGTAATATCAATGTAAATAAATAAAAGTATCGAAGAGAGCCAGAGATAATGGTCAGGCTCATTAAAAACATACATGCAGTCACTATAATAACATTAATTCACTATTAATCTTCATCTTGAGCACCTGGACAAACACAGAAGGAGGGGGGATGGGGGGGGAGGAACAAAGATAAACTGTGCTAAACTTTATGTTCACGAGTCTGTGTTGTACAAGTGTAGTACACAACACCGCGGGCGAGCACGACGGGTGTCTCAGATGTTTTGTAAGTAGAAGTAAAATTTTAAATAATGGTAGTTTAGTGGTAATAATAGTAGTAGTAGTAGTAGTAATCAAAGCAACTTGTCATTGGTATTAGCAACTGTTTATATTACAGTAGTTATAAAAATGTCTGTTAAAATTTATAATAGTAATAATAACAATCTTATTTCTATTGTATCCACAGATGTATAAGACAAACACACAGACACTTATTGTTAGTAGTTGCCACAAGAACATAACTATTAGACGGCTATAATCAAGATCTACCTGTTAAATTACTTTAACACCTGCAGAACCCAAAAGAAAAATCCCCAGGTAGAACTAATCAAGATAATAGCAGTGGTAGAAAATCATTAACAATACTAACATTAGCAATTGTTGACAGTTGTAAAGATCGTCAGTGTAGGGGAGACGCTCACACGCTACCCCGCCTCACAGCTGCTGTATGTGTTGACCCCACCTGCCCACACGTGTTGTTTGGTCCGGTTAAGATTATGGGTGGTAGTGGCCGGCCGTCGTTACCTGCGACACTGTGAAGGTGTGAGTTTAAGAGGGAAAGGGTAATAGTGGTGATTGATACAGCTGCAACACCAGTAGTGGGAATAGCAACAACAGTAATAGAAATAATAAGAATAGCAGCAACACCAGTAATAGAAACGGTAACAGAAGTAGTAAGAATAGTAACAACAGTAGTAATAATAGTAACAGCAATAATAGAAACAGAAGGAACAGTAGCATCAGTAAGAACAACAACGAACACAGAAACAGCAACAGCAGCATCTTGACCAAAACAGCAGTAACAGCAACATGAGTGGTGGGCCATATTAGGGTGGTAACAAGGAACACTAAACACTGATGATTCATATAAGCTTAATTAACTTTTACTTATCGTATGCTTTAATCTCAGTGTTAATCAAACCAGCACTAGGAAGACACCTTTACGTATGAGAAGAAGAACTGAGAGAAACAGAGAGACAGAGACAAAGAGACAGAGAGATAGAAAGGGAAGAGAGAGAGTAAATAAAAATAAATTAGTCGCCTCAAAACAGACAACATTACCTCCTGCTTGCCTTCAGAGATGTGACCTGCACGCTCCATCCATCGTGCTTGGTAGTCATGTAAAAAATAGTTGAATTCACTAAAATGAAGTTGCAGAAATCGTGGCAAAGAATTCTTGTTGTTGTTTTTTTATTCGTCTAGACCTGAAGATTGGTGGTGTGTGTGTGGGCGATTTTCTTGGTAACTGATAATAGGAAAAAGGTGAAGTTTTTTTTCCCGGATTGGTAGTAAATGAAATACACGACTCATAAGCACATTAAATAAAAATACTAAAACTGAACATTAAATCATGAAAATGTATTTAGATTGATGGGTTAGCGTTAGGTTAGGTTACTGTTATCTCACTGGATGTCTCAAGTCTAAGATGCTCCTTCTCTCAAAACTTTCTCACATTCAAAGTCTCAAGGATTCATGGTCCTAAGAATCCCATTTGTCATTTCAATCTGACATCTCGGTGCGCTGTGTGGGGGTGGGGGAGGGGGGGGTCAGGTCGAGTGTCAGGGAAGGTAGAGAATGTCAGGAGAGGTCGTGTGTCAAGGGAAGGTCGTGTGTCAAGGGAAGGTCGTGTGTCAAGGGAAGGTCGTGTGTCGGGGGAAGGTCATGTGTCAGGAGAGAGTCGTGTGTCAGGAGAGGGTCGTGTGTCAGGGGAAGGTCGTGTATCAAGGGAAGGTCGTGTGTCGGGGGAAGGTCGTGTATCAAGGGAAGGTCATGTGTCAGGGAAAGGTCATGTGTCAGGAGAGAGTCGTGTGTCAGGAGAGGGTCGTGTGTCAGGGGAAGGTCGTGTATCAAGGGAGCTTAATTATGCATTGCACAGATACTTTCAATAGTTGTTGTGATGTAATAAGAATGATAGCTGGACAGACAACGCTACGAGACCCAGCTGACCCAGGAGAAGCAGCAGAGATAGACAAAACGCTGAGGGCCAGGGTATTTCAGACGGCGTTGCCTCTGTCGTGATGGAAGAACCAACGTTAGCACTAAAAGTAACTCCTAAATACAGTATTAGTAGTGTAAGGTGGCGTTAAACAGTGAACGTAACAATGTAGTCCCACAAAAAATAGGCAGAGAGGAGATGAAAAACGATCGTACTGAGAAATATGAGGAGTAGGTTGATCATCCCTCACACGTAACCCACAACAAGACCCACAAACATCTTCTCGGGTGAGTGTGATGAGTAACTACCACGATATTATGTAACTAGAGGAGAGGGAATTAGCAAACAAAGCGCAGCGCGGAACAATCAATAATAATCACGTATATCATCCAACAATACAACAACTGGACAGTAAACTGGGACTGGTTTGTTAGCTCGGGAGTTTTACGGCACTGGTTCACCTTGGAGTAGAATCACATGTTCGGAATTCCCTTGTTCGACACGCAAGAAATCGAACCCAATTCCATTGTTCCTGGAGGATCCGGGCCACAACCTCCATCACTACCTTGGGGTCGTCCCTCCTACTGTTAATTATAGGGCCGTTCGACTCTATTTAACAGAGGGATGTGTGACGTTTTGCAGCTCCCTGGTAATAGACATCAACCTATGAGCGGCAGGGGTATTAGGTAGCTCTATCTTGATGGCTACATTTATGGTATTGGTAGCGGCGGTGAGATTAGTAGTTGCTGCTGTCCTTGTTACTGTAGTTGTTTGTACATGTATCTGGCTTCTTTGTTGTCGTTGTGGTTTTACGTTAGTTTTTTTTATAGCTTAATAGTTGTTACTCAATTTGATTGTGGTTTTTTTTATGAAATACTAATAAGGAAGGTTGTAACAGTGGCAGTTGTAGTAGTGGTGATTGTAATAATATCGTTAATCGTAGTACAACAGTAATGGTAAAAGTTAAAAGTATAGTTATTATAATCGCAATACCAGAAATTAAATATTTAACAGAGGATTTGCTAGTAGTATTTGTTGTAGTAGCGTTAATATATTGTAACAGTAGTAGTAGTAATAGCAATAGTGGTAATAGCACTAATAATAATAGTAGTAGTAGTCAAAATAAAATAATAAAGGTATATGACACCATAGTAGTGATAGTATAAGCAGTGGATATAATACAACAGTAACAGCAGTAGTAGTTAAACTAATAGTATCGACAATAGTAGCAGTAGCAATAGTAATGGTAATTGTAATAGAAGTCCCGTATCCACAATGTACCCCCAGAATAAATATCACATTTGGTGGCTGAAACTGTTTTTGGAACTCTCCGAACTTCCCACAATTAAAACAACTTAGGTGCCCTTAAAGCAAAGAGAGTGGGGACTTTTTCTTCCTCGCTGCTCGTTTTCTTCTCCTGAGCAATAAGTTAAGTTGTTGACGAAGTTTTCCTCAGGTTTTTGTGGTTGTAATATATTTTAATTTTCTTAAGATGGACTGTATGGCCAGGTAGGGGTGTTGCAATGAACTATATATTGTAATATTGCATTTATATGTATTAGAATTATCATAACGAGTAGAATATTAAGTTTTTAATGTGCATCTGATGTACAAACTATCTGTACTAGGTAGGGAGGTGGAGGGGGTAATGAATTTCAGAATGAACACTGCGATTCTTGCTATCTCGGTAGGGTTCCCAAAAATCCTTCGTTCGTTGTCATATTTTCTCAACACAATTTTGTATAGATAATTTTTGGAGTGACTGTACATAACACAAGATACACATAAAGAAACAGGTAAAGGGAGAGACACAGCAGTCAAGCCTTGTCGTTGTGGTTGACTGTGAGAGTGTTGATGTTTTGCTGTACACTGAAGGCCAGGAGACAGACTATTTAACATGTTGGTTTACGTGAACTGTGGCTTAAGTTTAAGATCGGTGGAATGACGAAGCTCCTGTCAGTGTATTCATTATATGAGCCAGACATGTGTTAGGTTTATATCAAGCTACATATTCTGACGGGATATTATTGAACAGGAAGAATGTTAGAAATAAGCTACGACGAATGCAGATTTAGCGCCATACAAGATACTAGAGAAATTGCGAGCCCTTTCAGTGAACCTGTTCTAGGGACTGAAAATCAACTCGTAAACGTGTGGAAGAAGAAGACAAAGGAAGAGACGCTTGATGACCTTCACTTAACGCTGCTTAAAGGTTCTTGGAAGCTGGATGATCTTCCTCTACATCTTTAATCAAGGTTCACATGATATTTGACTCTTGATGGAAGTTTGGTTATCCTTGTGGCTCTCGCTAGACTGAGGTGGACAGGACAATTTCACAGAAACTTTTATACAATGCCGGACTATATATCAACATGGCGGCTTCACCTCACGTAGCGATGGCGGGTGTAAGTGATCAATTCTTAGATAAACAACATAATGCAAATATATCAATAGCACCATTAGCCTCGCCCCATCCCCCCCACCCACCCACCCCTCCCACCCACCCCTGGTCACCAAACACCACCTGAGTGTAAATGTCATCAGTGTCGGGAAAAAAATATACCGAGGAAATGATGGTGCAGGTTACGGGGAGGACGGCCACACCACTCAAGACCACACCCGGCCACACCACTCAAGGCCATACCAGTCACACCACTCATAGCCACTCTAGCCACACCATTCAAGGCCACACAAGCCACACCACTCAGGTCCACTTTAGCCACACCAACCAAGGCCATACAAGCCACACCACTCAGGGCCACACCAGCCACCTCCTCCCTCAGGTACCCTCCTCTACCACATTCTCTATTCACTTTAGTTCACTCAATGTTGTCCTGGACGAAGGCGCTCTGCTTGTGTGTCCATGTAAGTCCCTGACACCACAGCGGGCTGCCAGTGACTCTGTAAGCCAACGTAACGTCTTCATATATATATGAACTTCATACATAAAATTTACCCCTGTAACTGAGGATACATTAATGCATCTAAGTAGATCACATAAGCCAAGGAAAATAGCAACATAGCGTCGAGATTGCATTAAGACTCTTCCGTAACTATAGATAATTTTTCTTGTACAGGATTCTAAAAAAAAAAGTGTTAGTTTTTCCTCGTCACTGGATATAAGAGAATGCTACTTGATACAGCACAGTCTCTGCGTGAGTCTGTAATATTAGCACTGTTTCGACGGCCACCTTTACGACGTAGTATTAGTGACACTTACCTGTAAATGATGTAATTCCAGGTCTCTGTATAGAGGAAAATTAACGTGGGAGCCTCCAAAGACCTGGTACCTGCGTTAACATACTCGGAGATCAATATGTATAGACTTACCCAAAATAGGGATGTCTGAACGTCTAAATGGTAACGAAGTCGAGCTGAAATTGTCCCTAACTTCTTCCTGTATCCTCTCTCGCATCCTCTCTCAGTTAGGGGGAAGATTGTTACAAATGTTTAAGAATCCCGGCTGTTGGGAGGACGCGGTGCGGGGTACAGACATTGCACTAAACTTTAACTGAGGATAAGACAACACAAGTCAAGGTGAAGTCACGGGGCAATTTCGGCGTCATTTTGGTTGCAATCTTTGTGTCGAGGATTAAGTGAGACAGCTGGAGGAGTTCTCAGATCTCCAGTTAGAGATAAGACTTAACGTAGGAGCCTTTGAGACTCCTGGCATAGGAGGATGAACAGCGGGGTAAGAGGATCGTGACAATGGCGCCGCAGACGATGTTGCAGCGGCTTGATGGATGGAATAATGTGGCGCTGTGGACGGCACTTCATACATGAGGGAGATATATTACGAGGCGGTGAGGGGGGGAGCACGTGAGGGAGGCGCTGTGGGGAGCACGTGAAGGAGGTGCTGTGGGGAGCACGTGAGAGAGGCGCTGTAGGGGAGCACGTGAGGGAGGTGCTGTGGGGGAGGGAGGGAGGCGCTGTGGGGAGCACGTGGGGAGGCGCTGTGGGGGGCACTGGGAGGGGGAGCACGTAGGGGAGCACGTGGGGAGGCGCTGTGGGGAGCACGTGAGGAGGTGCTGTGGGGAGCACGTGGGGAGCACGTGAGGGAGGCGCTGGGGGGCACGTGGGAGGTGCTGGGGGCACGGGAGGGGCGCTGTAGGGAGCACGTGGGGGAGGCGTGGGGAGCACGTGGGGAGGCGCTGTGGGGAGCACGTGAAGGAGGTGCTGTGGGGGACACGTGGGGAGGCGCTGTAGGGAGCACGTGAGGGAGGCGCTGTGGGGACACTGGGGAGCACATGGGGAGGCGCTGTGGGGGACACGTGAAAGAGGCGTTGTGGGGAGTACGTGAAGGAGGTGCTGTGGGAGGACACGTGAGGGACGTGCTGTGGGAACACGAGGGAGGCGCTGTGGGGAGCACGTGATGGGGGAACACGTGAAGGAGGCGCTGTGGGGAGCACGTGGGGGTGCTGTGGGAGCACGAAGGAGGCGCTGTGGGGAGCACGTGAGGGGCGCTGGGGGAGCACGAAAGAGGCGTTGTGGGGAGTACGTGAAGGAGGTGCTGTGGGGGACACGTGAAAGAGGCGTTGTGGGGAGTACGTGAAGGAGGTGCTGTGGGGGACACTTGAGGGAGGCGCTGTGGGGACACGTGGGGAGACGCTGTGGGGAACACGAGGGAGGCGCTGTGGGGACGCAGGGAGGCGCTGTGGGGAGCACGTGATGGGGGAGCACGTAAAGGAGGCGCTGTGGGGAGCACGTAAAGGAGGCGCTGTGGGGAGCACGTGAGGGGCGCTGTGGGGAGCACGTGAAGGAGGCGCTGGGGGGGCACATGGGGAGGCGCTGTGGGGACCACGGAGGAGGCACTGTGGGGGAGCACGTGAAGGAGGCGCTGTGGGGAGCACATGAGGGGAGGCGTGGGGGAGCACGTGAAGGGAGGCGCTGTGGGAGCGTGAGGGGGCGCGTGGGGAGCACGTGAGGAGGCGCTGTGGGGAGCACGTGAAGGAGGCGCTGTGGGGAGCACGTGAGGGAGGCGCTGTGGGGAGCACGTGAAGGAGGGCGCTGTGGGGAGCACAGAGGGGAAGGCGCTATGGGGAGCACTTGGGAGGCGCTGTGGGGGCACGTGGAAGGAGGCGCTGTGGGGAGCACGTGAGGAAGGCGCTATGGGGAGCACTTGAGGGAGGCGCTGGGGAGCACGTGAAGGAGGCGTGGGGAGCACATGGGGAGGCGTGGGGAGCACGTGAAGGAGGCGCTGTGGGGAGCACGTGAGGGGCGCCGTGGGAGCACGTGGGGAGGCGCTGTGGGGGACACTTGAGGGAGGCGCTGTGGGGTGGGGGAGGCGCTGTGGGGGACACTGCTGGGGAGTGGGGAGGCGGAGTGGGGAGGCGCTGTGTGGGGAGGCGCTGTGGAGAGGAGGTAGGCGTGGGGGCACATGGGGAGGCACTGTGGGGAGCACGTGAGGGAGGCGCTGTGGGGGACAGGTGGACACGTGAGGGAGGCGATGTGGGGACACGTGGGGAGGCACTGTGGGGAGCACGTGAGGGAGGCGCTATGGGTGACACGTGTGGGGAGCGCTGTGGGTGACACGAGGGAGGCTCTATGGGTGACTGTAGGGGAGGCACTTGAGGGAGGCGCTGTGGGTGACACGTGAGGGAGGCGCTGTGGGTGACACGTGAGGGAGGCGCTGTGGGGAGCACTTCAGGGATATATTAGATAATGGACGAGATGCTACGGTATACATAGTGTGATGGAGCTATTATAGTATGTACAAGTGATCTTGGGCCCTTCGTGCCCCGTGAAAGTTTGAATGCTCATGCTTGGCTAGCGTGCAACTGCTGTCCGGCTGACTGCGTACAGCGAATGGGGCTGCGCCAAGTCCGTAGACTTGCATCATTTTCCAGCCTAAATAAAATGGTTAATTAATGCCTTCCTAAAGAAACCATCGACATGGAGCCAGGTTTGTTCCACTCTACGATTTTTTTGCGATTTTTCTACGAAGTTTGACGAAAAGCGATTGTGCCGTTGCCCAGAACAGACACTCACACACACACACACACACACACACACACACACACACACACACACACACACACACACACACACACACACACACACACACACACACACACACACACACACACACACACACACACACACACACACACGGCTATTCCTATAGTATATTAGATAAACTCAATTGTTATAGGTTTCTGTGTGATCATCGTTAGTGCCTGATTATACAGGCTTAAACCCTCCCTCATAATGTTCAGCCTCGAGTCTCTCCTACACGCTAACATCATCTAAACCTCTTAACTTCATCTGGCGTTGTTCTGGGTCTCCTTTGTTCACTATTGATTGTTCTTCTGACATGTTCTCCTCACATTGTAACAATAGACGATGGAATATTTATATTTTTTAATTAATCAGACTTTACTCCCTTTCCCCTTAACACACACAAGTTTATTTCAACTTAATTTTCCTGAACAAAATTTTATCAGCAGTCGCCATTTGCATTAAATATTCCAAGACTTTTCCTGAACTGAACTCCACCGGACGAGAAACTTTGTCATCTTGTTTATATCAGTTTTACTCAAGTTTGTTTTCACCAGATCTTTTTAGCACTCAGCTCTGGTAGGCGAGTCTATATCTCCGGCGGGGGTTGATGTAAATATTATCATGTTGAGAGCAAAACAAGGCTGATTTAATTACTACCTCTTGATACTTAAATCACTTCTTTCCCAACTACGTGACTTACAAGACAATTTCACGAGGAAAACTTCTTTGCCAGGTAACCCCAGAAGTTTTCACCTTGATGCTTATGGTGTATATTGTTCTACAGCAAAAATTAGATAATGAAGTACATAACGATTTTTTCGGCTGTAATTTTCCATAAACTCTTCGACTTTGGTCTTATCGAAAATAACCCCCGCGTAGTTATTAATCTTCAGAGTATTATTAATTTATTTTAGGATAGGTCTAACTCTAGCAGACTTATATCAATCGGGCACAATAGTAGTGTTGATAGTTATATAAACCTCTTGATATTGTTATTTATTCGTCACTTTTACAATAGCTTTATGTAAGGTTTCATCTGGAGGTTTGTATGGGGGTGATCGATGAATTTCAGAATGAACACTGTGCCTCCTGTTGTCTCGGTAGGGTTGTCAAAATCCTTCGTCCGTTGTATCATATTTGTTCAACGCAATTTTGTTTAGTTTTGAGTCCTTGTGTCTGTTACCAGTATTGACCTGACTTAATCTTCCAATCATTAAGTATTTACTAAGGTATCTCTCCACGTTTCACCGTCATTAAAGGCAACTATAGAAATAATGTAAACAGAATCCAACAATTGTTACCAATATATCACCAGAGTTACCACACCTACAGTCGTCAACGGTAAAGCCTAATTAAACCTCTATCTTAGCTCACCTGTTGTGTGCTTTTCATATTAAACTGGGAATATGGCAACAAGAGTGTGTTTTACCTGGGGAATTAATTGACAAACATCATCAGGTTACGAAACAGAAGGTGGTGTGGTTAGGTTAGGGTATTTTACTGGTAACACACACAAGCGTCCTCGTTCAAGGTTAAAGGTTTTGTGCTGCCAACAATTACACGGGTTTTTTTTTCTAATGTTGACGTATGTGTTTAGTTAGGTTAGGGTAAATTAATAGATGTGCTGAAATAATAATAGTAATAATAATAATATTAATAGTAATGATGATGATAATTAGTTAAACAAAACCAAATCGAAGTAAAGGGTATTTAAATAGTAAAAAAAAGAACAGTATCTCAAAACAGACTTAAACAACGAACTCACACCACAAACAAGAAACAAATCTCAAAAAGCTTGAAAATAAGCTAACATAACCAAATTTAACTAAACCTAACCTAACCTAACCGAACCGAATCTATCATGATGTATATAGTTAAATTGGAATCAATTTATATACAATAGTAAAAATTAACAGACAATGGTGGTGTTTCCTGATGGGGGTGATGGTAATGGTGTCTGTAGAAAATGGTGTGATTGTGGAGGTGTCGGTGATGGTTTACGAGAAGGTGGCGAGGCCCTGTGTGTGTGAGGGGGGAGGCCACACACACACACACAGCGTCACAGGCTCAACACACAATAACTTCTTGCGCTGCTTTAAAAACAAACAACCTTCTTAAATGTTATTCTTCCAGCTGCAGGTTTTGAAGCTGAGTAGCAATTAGTTGGTATGAATGTCAAGAGGTCGGAGTACAGTATTTACAACAAAAACGAAGACAATTTGTTCTCCTTGGTTTTAGAACTCAAGACGTGAAGAGAATGAATGGGGTAAAATGTCATTAAAGTTTAATGAACACGTTGCGTGGTGGAGCCTCAGGGCAGATCAATGATTGCACGAGGAAATGTTGACGGCACATCTGGAGGGGACGCGCATCACACACACCATTATTAAGCCTGGTGATCTTACACGAAATATATGTACAGTCAGGGTGAGGAGGTGAAGATGAGTTTGCATGTGTTTATTCCTGTTGAGGATGTTATGGAGGACGACAGCGGTGGTGCGGGTGTGAGTGACAGGCTGAAGCCTCTTCTGAGTGTGACTCAACACTGACACTCGCTCCACTCACCCTTGAGGCGTCGTGACGTCCTCCACCACCGTCTTAAGCAAAATACATTCCCTTCATCCTCACTCAACCTCCGCCAGGTAAAACTTCTCTAAACCAACTTTCCATAGATCAAAATCCCAACTTTTTACCACTCGGTCTCATCTCCCGCCATTGTGCCAATTACACAATATTTACACACAGTTTTCTGGCCATTGAGACGACAAGCAGAGAGGCGGGCAGGCAAAAAGTGCTCGTCGTCAAAATAATGGCGGAGGAGAGAACCTGAGTGAGGGAGGGGGCGGCTGCTGACGGTGCTGTTGTGGCTCCTGCACCCAAGGCCAAGTGACCTGCTCCATTATCTCCTCACTGGCAGATGGCGCGACGCAGCCAGGGAAAATATGGGGTTTTGTGGCTCCTGTAGGATGTATGTGTGTTTGTGTGTGGTGTGTGTGTGTGTGTGTGTGTGTGTGTGTGTGTGTGTGTGTGTGTGTGTGTGTGTGTGTGTGTGTGTGCGTGTGTGCGTGTGGCTGAAAATATACAAACTTACATTTGACTTAGACATAATGATAAGCGTTGAATACATTTACAGGGCTGTACAGTACATAAATCAGGAGTTGTTTATTATTTTAACAATAGATGGGATGGTGCTGTTCTTATATCTATTAATGCGGGCTCTTATGGGCTGAATTTTGTTATAGTGGCGGACTGGGCGAGGGACTGCCGGTGGCAGGAGGTGGCGATGACGAGGATGGCGCAGTAGTCCACTGCCAAACCTTGCTCATGCTTGGTGGCGGAGGTCACTGAGCGATGGCATTTCCAGGGTGGAGAGAGCGTTGATGTAGCCGGAGTAGTCTGCGCCGAGCATGATTCTGCAGGCCCTTTTCTGTACCTTCTCTAGCCGACGTTGTTGGGTGGAGTTGAGAGAAGACGACCAGGCTGGTGATGCATACGTTAGTTTGGGGAGAATAAAGGCGTTGTAGATAGTCCGCAGCTCTGGCGTGGGTGCCCCAAGTGACCTAAGTCGTCGTAGCATGTAGAGTCGGTATGAAGCTGCCTTGATTGTGTTATTAACATGGGCCTTCCAGTCCAGTTTGTGGTCTATGGTAATTCCCAGGAGTTTGGCAGACTGCACTAACTGGAGAGGATGGGCACCCACTGTGACTGCTGGAGCTTGCATTGGAGTGGTGGCGGTATTGATGTGCATGACTACGATTTTGGTGTGGTTGATGGTGACCTTGTTCTCCGTAGTCCATGCCTGTAGCCTGTCCAGGGTGCCTTGTAGCGATGAGTAGTCCGGTGAGGTGTTGTCCACTGTAACCCCCACAGTTCAGTCATCCACGTACTTCCACCTGTGAGGAGTGTCCGATAGAACGTCGTTGATCAGGATCAGGAAACACAGTGGTCCCATCTTGGTCCCCTGGGGAACATCGCAGGTGTGTGTGTGTGTGCGCACGCGCGCGCACGCAAGTATTTGAAAATGAATATTTAACTCTGTGAATTTGATTCATAGTCTGTATGTGTGCGACAATATGTATATACAGTATGAGTGTTGGTATGTATAGGTGTTCATCATACATGTTTGCTTGTATGTATGTGTGAGTGAATGAGTTTTATGTACTGTATACTGTACATGTGTGTTATTTTTATTTTTTTATATAGTGTGTATGGGCAAAACAAAGCCTTGGACATTATTAAACGACACCCTGACCCTGGAAAGCTAAATAATGAGTGGACATGAAATGAAAATAGGGAATTAGAATGATGAAGAGGCTGTAGTGGGCCACTGTGCGAGTGAAGTAACATGACCAAGGTTCAAATAACAACAATAAAAAAGAGTATCACTGTATATGTTCAGATGGCGTTAAACATAAGTTGTGTGTTGGTGTTCTTGTAGGGCAGAAGTTGGGGTAGTTGTGCTCAGTCAGGGAGGTTAGTCAAGTTTAATGCATTGACTTGGTAATAAATCAGGTTAAAGCACCAACAAAGTGATAATGAGGAGGAGGTTTAAATATGTTTCGTGAAAATGTAAAGAAGGCAAACGAATCTGTGGAGTTGGGAAGGATGAAGAAACACGGGTTAATAGAAATGAAAGAAGAGAAGCTTGAGGAAATTTATATAAAGAAAACAAGTAGAATACGGTATAGCAAAGTCATGGTCTTAAGCATCACCCAAGTCATCTTTATACATGGATATCAACCCACGATGATATAAATAATATTGTCAGGAATAAAACAAAAATTGCGGTTTAGTTCAAGAAAAATTCAAGAGCTTAATAACCCAAGCTAAGACTTACCTGAAGACCGTAAGAATAATTACGCCCTCAGGTGAGAAGAAAAATCACCGCGATCAATTAGAAGAACTAGCAACTACAGTATATACAGAAAATTATGGATTACAGAGTGGCGCATAAGTCACTTGAGATCATGTTGATAAAGACAACGTTCTCGGTAAAGCGACTTTTGCACCATCCTGTACATAGTCATAATGCTCTTTTGGAAGTTTAACTCTCTCAAGGGACTCTGTAAACACAAAACTCAAAGGGGCTTTGTAAACACCTGTACAGTCTCATGCATTCAGACCTTTTCCGGGATTGTACTCGTTATCTTCACAAAAATGATTTACCTCTACAGTCTACAAGGATCATTTAGTGAAGCAACGTAATAGAGAACCTGACGTCATTTACATTGGCATTATCTGTGTGTAACTAACCTCATTGATGTTTTATAGTGCTGTAAAGAACGTATCTCCAAACTCGTACTAAAAACAGGAACACACATGCAGCGTTCACACCACGACGGTTATCTATCACAGTTCATTATCCAACTATTGTCTAGAGATAACTTTAGGTTACGTTAATAAAATCAGGTTAGTTTTAAAGTTTCCTGGGGTGTAGTGCAGTAATGTATTTAATTTTCTGATCCTCTCGAATTATGCATATTGTTCTCCTGAGTTCAGAATATTTATTTTATTTGTTGCTTCAGCCTTTATTAATGCCATTTTTTTCTTCTCAACCAGAGTTTGTATAGAGGCTTTTAAGATTGGTGCAGTACGTGGGTAAGTTAACAGTGAGGCCGGGTTTGTTGTGGTCTACCTGAGTCACCTAGCTGATAGTTGACAGGAAATGACTGTTCACACAATTATGTTCACTCACTGTTTTAGCACGATGTATGGCACAATGTGTATATAATACTCCTATTTTTTCTCTCACAAATGAGAATAGATTATATATGTTTAGATACATGTGCGCTGCCACCAATCTGTTTGCATCCTCTATAACTCGAGACAAAACAACCAGTGTGTGACCCATAATCCAAACACGAGTGTGGCCTGTGACCCACAAACTCGACCACCCATTTTCCTAAATATTGTCCTGACCGTAAAAAAAAAAAAAGTACACACTCCTCCCCGCAATGCCAAGTTACATTATGAAAATAGATGTAATTTCTCTGAGGAGATCCTCGTTCGTCAACACGGATTACCAGTTATATAACACAGAGATGAGCGACTCGACAATTACGTCTCAGTGGTGCTCTCACGAACACATGAAGTGTGATGACACATGTAAGACGGGAGGGGGTGAGGGCCTCGCCTTAACTATCCTCACCACCAAATATCAGGAGAAATTATTGCTCGTGTGTGGCTGTTCCCGTCGAGATAATGTCAGCTCTCCGTGATCGTGTAATACGTGGTGAGGTAAAGGACCCAGGTCAAAAACATGACATCCACACACCACCACCACCATCTACATGAAATATATATAATATATATATATATATATATATATATATATATATATATATATATATATATATATATATATATATATATATATATATATATATATATATATATATATATATATATATATCATGTAGAGCCGCTGATGTATACTGTAGATGCACTTCGTTTACATCTCTTTATCCACCCCATAAGTTTTTTATCCGCCTCTGTTGACAGGTGTATAATTATCCTCAGAGACGGCAAAAAATCTCCGCCATCCGTTCGCCCGCTAACCTAAGATGGACGAGGTCGTAGTAGTCGGAATTCACAGTCCCGAGACGATAAATATGAACCATGTGGGACTTACTTTGATCAATTTAGATAAGCCATAGAAAGACAAACAGATCCTAACATAGACAGACACACGAGTGGGCCCACAACCCTTCCCCCGCCTCCTCCCTCCATCCCCTCGCCGCCAGGTAAAATACTGCTGCACACGGCAGAACCAAAGGTTTATATTATGCAGAAGTTTACGCCTCGTTCTGCTATAAATGACGACCTTCACTGCTCTGGTATCACTCTTAAGATACCTTTCGAATATGAAATGAGTCGTAAGAATACCTGAAAGTAATAACTCATGAGAAAAAGTAGAGGAGTGGCGTGCAGCAGCTCCTATCTTTTACCTCTAAAATTGAGCGTTGGTTTGTTCCCAGCACCAGCGTGGCCGCTCACCCGTCCTCTGGTTACCAAACTTTCGGTCGACCTGGAGGTTTGTTAATCATCTAGCATTCCTTTGTAGATATACCGACCTCTTGTTAGAATTATATTAGACCGTATAAGTTGTGTTAACATCAGACAGAATTGTTTTTTTTTTGACATGGAAAGCATTGATATTTATAGGCAGGAACAGGGGAGGGGGTTCCCGCCGCCCACGGCAGATGGTGAAAACTTGCTTGACAATTTATTTTCTTCCTAAGAAATTTTTTTTGGTTTTAGCAGATCATATAAGGACTGAACACCTTGTATCTGATAAACCTTTCATCAGCATATAATAAACTTTAACAGAGTAATTACGAAACTCTACTACTAGACGACTTTGTCACAAATAAGCAAGTATACCTCTTTGAAGGCGGTCAACTAATGTAACTGAAAGAGGACGAAGTGTTGTGGAAGTGTATGGTGCCCGGGGGCCCGCATGCCCTGAGGCCGGCCGGTCAGAGTTCATGTGGGGAGGGGGGTGGGAGAATTGTGGGTCCCAACGGGGTTTCATGTACCCTTTCTTGCTTATTTATTCTGTAACTATATATGTATTCTTGTCATCAACAAGTTCATCAGCCAAACTGTTATGTGTAAGCCGTGAGATTCAGTTAGCCAACCTCCCCTGAGCACGTTTTTGATTCAAGAAATATGCAAGAGAAGATTATCGTACATCCTTCCGTGTGTTGTCGTCGGCTGTATTTTCCAGAGTATCAGCATCTTGTGAAGTGACGATCCCCTGTTCTACATTGTGCTTATCGATTTTCGATGGAATAAACAGAAGATGTGTTTCATGGAGTGCATATTTAAGTGCAGGAAGCATCCAGGAACAGGGTGTGTGAACTGCTAAAGTTTTGGAAGACGATTGGCTGGTGGTGAGACAAAGAGGGTCATCTCCTCCCTTGTTGTTGCCTGTATCATGTAGTCCGGCACGATTAATGCCTGCTACTGATCATCTTTGGAGAGTTCTTACTCCAATAACTTCTTGGTCTGACGCTTAAATGAGGTAAGGCTGTTATTTTTATGGTATATTATCCAAGTGTAGTTAGTTCGTTGGTGAATGATATAAAAGAAACATCAACGTAGGGATTAATAGTGTAGTGTTTCGGCAGTGTATGAGGTTTTACCAATCTTATTTCATTTTCTCAGTTTAGATGTTGTAATAGAAGATTTACATGCATGCCAAAGAGTGTGTAGAGCATTTCCAAATGCTTTACTGTACTGCTTGGTATAAGCATATTTTGTGGAATTTTCATGATTAGACTAGTGTACCCAAAATCGTTTTCTTCAGTTTTTGTTGACAACTCGGAGAGAAAATGGGCAGTTTGTCATGGTAGACTTGTGCATTTTAACCATTTTAATATTTTAACAAAACTGGTTGTTATTGACGCAAAGAAACCAAGAACAGTTGTTATAATTAGTAATATAAAGGTTTTTCCATAGGTGATTCAACAGGAAATAATTTTTACTTCATTAAACTTTTTGTCTTCCTCTATCAAGGAATAAACTATTGAAATTGAAAAAAAAAATTGACAGTGTACTTACAGTATATACTTGTATATACACATACAACTACCTTACGAGGAGCGAACATTTACAATTAACAGTGACTTTGGAGGAAAGTTTTTTTCAACACGTGTCATTAATCATCAGTAATATTCCCTTATTTAGATGATGAGCGTGAGTCACGTATCACTGGTAATGCTTACAATTCAATTCAACTTCTAGTTTGTGGCATAGTAAATCTTGCATTATGGATGGTTAAAAAAGAAATTCTTACATATTTTTATTAATGTATATTATACGTTTTTTACCTGAAAATAATTTAATATATCGAGGGCAGTTCAAGGGATTGGGTCATGGTGAACAGGATCCCCCCTCCATTTCGTACAGCCCTATATAAAATGCAGGAAATACCACCATTTGGCTTATATTTTCAAAAAAATTCTCAACGGGACTAAAGCATCTTCGTATGTATAGTGATATCATTACTGTATATAAGTTGCCTTTATCCTATACAAATTACCAAGTACGTTAAGGCCTACATAGACCTACATTTTATTTCATATTTTCAATGTTTGGGACCTGAGCACTTGACCGACTAGCCCTAGCGGAAGCTGGGAAGGTGAAGGATCCTTCAGGATATTTAAAAGGACGAAGAACTTCCTGCGATAAGTCTATCAGAGGAGAGACCGACAAGTTTAGTTTAATGGACTTTTTCGATGGATATTTATTTGTGTTTGTTTCAAGAGTAGAACATGTACAAAGCAATGCCCAAATGTAGTGTTACTTATTTAAGGCAATAGCTAGGGGGGTCTTGTTAGAAAACGCCCCCGCAAAGGAATTGACCGGAGGAATTAATAAATACTACACAAAACAATACAAAGATCATTTCCAGGAGTGATATGTTTGTAAATAATATTTACGAGGTCGAGTTGTTTTGTCAAGGTGAAAGAGCGCCCCGCCAGACCATGGGGCCTGACGGGCAATTAGGGCAATAAGTACATACTGTATATATTACGCACCGTAGCCGAAGTTGTTTTTCCCTCCACAAAAAAGACAACATGGCTGGCACTGCGCTCCACCGACTTAACTTTCCTAACTGTTCAGTTAGATACCCATTCACAGTTGGGTGGCCTAGGAATGCCACAGGCGAGTGCCCGGAGGCGAACCATGTATCCACTTGCCCGCCAAAGTAAGAGATTAGTTATATCTTGTTTGAGAAATTGAATTTTCAGGTAAAATTAATACTCAGTTACGAAACAGGAAATCATAATGGATGGACTGTTAGTGGTGACACTGTATCTAGAACCTAAGCAAAATACTGTACAGGGTGTTTCAGAAATACTTTTCATAATCCTGGGACATACATGACTCCATGACCATAGTGTCAATGCACCACAGTTGCAGAGTTATAACACATGACAGTTGGGGGTTGAGATGTGATAAAATCTACAAAGTATAAATTAAATATCCAGTGTTGCAAGTGAGTTTATTTACAATCATATGTAATCTGATATGGGTTTTACATTAAATATTAAAAAATTTGGCCCTCTTCCTGAATCTTACCACTTACTACATAGTACAGCGGCATAGCCAAACAAGTGTGCATTTTATGATGAAAGCATTAACTTTGGCACAGATATAGAGTAATACATGGTGAATATTTTCAGATATGGAACCACTAGAAACTCAACCTCTGTGGGCGCCATATTGAATTTCAAGATGGCCGCCGTTCATGATAAGCTAAACTATGTATTTCTGTTTTTACGGTTGCATATTCTATTCCAATGCATCAATATACATAATCCGGGTTACGAAAATCATTTGTGATAGTTTTCGAAGTTTATCACAATGAAAAAGACAAGTAAAGGCATTGCACTGGAAAATTAACATACAAATTTTCCGAACTCCCAAAACTTAAAAAAAAAATTCTGAACATTCGGCTATTGGGGCCGAATCTCTGTAGATATTTAGCCTTAACAGCCACCTTAACATGCACAAAGTCCAGTGCATTTAAGTGCAGATTTTTTGCACCTACACTTGCCACTGCAGTGTTTTCTGCAACCGCAAGAGATGAGCTCGTGGCATGACTTTGACACTTCAGAGTGTGGCCCAGAGTGGTTCCACCTCATCACCCGACTTCATCCAACCCCAGTCACATGGTGATGGCAGACTGACAAACGCTATTGCGGCCTGTCCCCAGATATGTCCAGCCTGATAAGCAGCTCTCTTTATGTGCTGCTCCAGAGCAGCTCATGTTGGTGAGAGATCCTCCAGTGATCTTGATTTTCTTGAAAACAGTTTCTTTCTCAGCACGTTCACGTCACAGCATGTGCTCGTACGGTCATAGAGCAGCACGATGAATCTCTCCAGTGTCGACAGGACACCATCAGGCAGCTCACTTAGGGTGGAAATCAGACCGAGGAAGGCGGTTGTCACTTCCGGAAATGCATTCCATGTGGCCCAGGCTGTCTTCTTGCTATGACCTGCGAAGGCAGATACCGTGTTGTTGCCCGTTATTGCGTGAAACACTGGAAGAGCTCTCGACTTCTCAGGTCCCAGGGCCTTTGCAATCTGATGTGCTGCTATGTAACGTCGATTCTTTCCTGTGCCAAAAGTAAGCCATAGTTCATCTAGTACCTCACTCCGTTCATTCGCTAGAGCAACTGCAAGGATAAACAACATTTGTATCGATAGTACGAATGAGTATTCGCCGATGACCACATTCCAAGGCATCAGCTGCATGAACCATCATCCTAGTGTCGGCCTCTTCGTGGTTGCATGGTGCCAAGTTGGCAGTGTCTTTCCGGGGTGGAACAGTGAGTACCTGTTTCTTGTCTGTGACAACCAGCTGTTTACTTTCTTTGACAACCAACTGCATAACCTGTTCTGACTGGAAACTGAAGAGTTCCTCTTTGTTGTCACTGTTGCGAAGAAAGTTTTGCCACTTGCTAGGTAGAGGACCAGAGGCAGTGACGCGTCTTCGAATGCCCTTGCCACGGTTACATCTTACTGTTGCTTTTGGACTCCCAGATTTCAGGTAGCAATCCCATACCAGGTCAAGTCGAGATCGATATTCGAGTTGTGATTCAATATAGGGAATGAATACAGCTGTGCTGTATTCTTGAAATGTCCTACTGCCTCCTGGCTTCAACATTTCCACAACGGCAGGTCCATCGAGTATAATTGAGGTGACATGTGGAGCATCAGTGATCTTGTCAGCAAGCTGTTCAAGGGGTGTGAGTAAGTCGGTCTTCTTGCTGAAGCGGAGTTCCCATTACTGGAGAGTGCTGGTGGATAGGCCCAGTTTTCATGCTTGAAGAATTCGTCCAAATCACCCTCATTTGTTTAACAGGCTATGTAGAGCCTGGAGAAGAGTCCACAGTCGTCTTTTGCGAAGGCTAGTTGCTGCTTACGCCTAGTTGGAGACTTGGATTTCATAGAACTGAATAGTGTTAGCTTGTAGAGCTTAATAGTGTCACCAATAGGCTTAGACTTTTCTTCAAGGCGTTCTCTTACATATGAATGGAATTGTTCTCGTCCAAGTTTGATAACATTCTGCACACTCTTCACGACTTCTGGACACAAGATTTCCTTTGTATGAAGAACCATTATGTCAGCAATTTCTTCCCATTTCTTCCATGACAAGTGTAAGTGCTTTCACATCCTGAAGAAACTTGTCCTGCGTCGTGTTGGTTTGCTCATGTTGGTGGAAGTTAGCCTTGGGTTGCTCAGTTTCGGTGATTCAAATTCAGCCAGTTGACGTATTATGGGTTCATCGAATGCCTCTGAACCCTCTTTTCTTTCTTCCTATAGCCTATTATTTCCCTATGCTTTGCAGTATTAGACGGTCTCACAGGACAAAGACAGTAACGTGGTGAAACCTGAATTTTTTTCCTGGATCCGCCCCTAATTTATAGCGGCCACTCAAATCCAGTATCGAGTGGTTCCATATCTGAAAATGTTCATATACCATTACTCCATCGCTGTGCCATATTTGGTGCTTTCATCATTAAATGCACAATTGTTGTGAAAATTGTAGCTATGCCGCTCCACTACAAGTAGGGCTGGATATTTTATGTTTTATGTCCATGCACCTGTTGCAGTCATCCCCTACCCGATTTCCTGTTATAACTCTGAAACTGTGGTGAATTGACACTATGGTCATGGAGTCATTTATCCTTATGTATGTCCCAAGAATACACACCCAGAATTATGAAAAGTATTTCCGAAACATCCTGTATAGCAGCCATTGTTGATGCAGGTGGTGCTTTCGGGTCTACAGTTACAGTAGTTTTCGTTCTTGGTATAAATTTCTTAAAATTTAGATACGAATGTTTACTCGAAATCACGTTTGAATATACACTTAGAAGCTTGGTTGCACGTACTTGCATGCTAGAGCGCACGCACACACTCTTCAGAATGCGTGTACATCAGCATGCGCGCACTGAAACACACACACACACACACACACACACACACACGAATTAATTACCGTTTTAG